AGTGGCTTAATGAAAAGTGAAAAAACTGATCCTGGAGTGTTTGTTTTGCTATTTTTTTTTCTTTTGAGACAGGGTCTCATTCTGCTACCCAGGCTGGAGTGCACTGGCACAATCTTTGCTCACTTAACCACCCACGCCCAGGTGATTCTTCCACCTCAGCCTCCTTGAGTAGCTGGGACCACAAGCAGGCACCCCCTGCTAATTTTTTTGTAGAGACGAGCTTTTGCCATGTTGTCCAGGCTGGTCTCAAACTCCCAGGTTCAAGCAATCCTCCCACCTCAGCCTCCCAAAGCGCTGGGATTATAGGCGGGAGCCACTGCACCAGGCCTGTTTCGATAACTTTTTCTTAATGTAGCAAGAAATAATCACTAGGGATTAAGTTACCATAGAAGACAATTTTCTGCTTCTTTGAGCTGCCTATTCAGCCCGAACAGTTCACTTTGCATCCACCCTAGTTTTGCAAGCCACACCTGCCTTTAAAATAAATATATCAGACCTTATAGGCAATAGATTTTCCCTCCTTTGATCTCTTATCATTGTATTTCAAAACATCAAAGAGTCTAAAGCTGTGTCTTGAATAGTAGCCAAACCTCAAAAAACACAGCTGAGTTTGATCTTAAGCCCACAAAATCAGAAGCCTTGCAAACTCAGCCACAACTCATTTTTTGAACCTGATAATGGTATGCTGAAATGGTTCTTTTCTGTCTGCAATTTTAAGGCTTAAAGGATTAGATAAAAATGTATAGCTGAATAATGAGATTTTTATATAACCCAAAGGCCGACCTCCTAACTAGCCATTATTCACATGATGATAGCAGGATCCTCCAGTATTGTCCCTACCCCAATGGGCCACTTTCCTCTAGATTATGGACAGAGAAGTGGGTTTGTCACAGATTCCTGAGTCAGTCCCTGCCACCCAATCTAAGTCACTGCTGCCAGACACCATCACTGCTGTCAGCTCAGGGTTCCAAACCTCTGCTCCCAGCGCCCTTCAACCCCTATTCATTGTCTTGTTTCCTGCAACTGCTTATTTTTTCAACACGCAGTTTACTCCAAGTGTAAGAAAACCACCCCTTCTTCACCCAACATGTATTATTAGTACACAGTTTCTTTACAAAGGTTTAAGGTGAACAAAGGATAATTACAGCACGGTGCAGAAACACCTTCAAGTTGAAGTCTACATATCACTTTTATGAAAGGTTCCTCAGTCTTCCTGATCATCTTTCTCCACAAACACCTTCCTTCTGTCATGGTTCTGGATCCCTCTCTCTCTCTCTCCAAACCATTCTTCTATTTTTCTTATATTTCCTACTGCTATCAACTTCAGCCAAAGAGAGCATTTCTCAAATTTCTGTTACTTTATTCTGCCAAGGAAATCTAAGCTTTTTATTTCACTCTTTTCCTTCCAGACATTGCCTAGAGACTTCAGCCTTTCAAACTAACAAAAAAAGCCAATCAAGGTATCTTCTAAGCAAAAATTCACTTTTTTTCTGTGTAAGGAATGTGCCATTCTCCTAGGTATCTGGCAAAAGCTGTATGCATCCTTAAAATAATAATTTTTCCTTTCTGTTATTAAAACATACCAGAAATTTTACAGTCAAATGACTGTTGTGCTCTCCAAAGAAGCACCATGAGAGGGTATTCACTTACTGAAATCATATGATCATCACTCCAAATAGCTTCAATTATCTTCTAAGCAATGTACTAATTCCTCCAGAAACATGGCTCACTGGTATGTTCCAAGACACCTTCTTTTGGTCCAATTCTTTTATCTCTGCTTTGAGTTCTCATTCTCATTACTACATTCATTCAATCAACTCACAAATTAACATGCCACTAGGTATTGCAGACACAGTCCTAGCACTCAAGTAATACAGAAGTGGCTATCCCAGTGCAAGCCATGAACCAAGGCTTGCAGGGTGGGGGGTTCTGTGTCACTGAAGTAAGTCTGAAGTCAGAAGGAATTTTATCAAGCTGTCACTAGCTTATATAGATACTTTAGGCTTGAGAAGGACAGTTGTCACCTGCAGGCTGATCATCTATGCCTCTAGTTCATAGAGATAGCATGGTACATTTCTACAAGTAGGCTATTAATGCTGCCTCCCTCCTGAAAATATTGTATGTAGTTGGAATGCTTAAAATTGAACTGTATTAAACTCTCACTCCTTTTCACTCATTCATTTATTCATTCAACCAAGAAGTATATATTTTTCTATGGGCTAGAGGAGGAGGACGGTTGCATCTCTGGAGTGTCACACTCATTTATAATTATGTTCTAGGCATGTGTCACATCAACTGAATAAACAAAGTTAAGAATTGCCTGCTATCTTATCATCACAATAACACATCTTCACAATAGTTTTGAATCATCAGTTTAAAAACTTATTATATTTGGTATATTATTCCAGACAGAAGGCAAGAATATAATGCATTTTATTTTAAAAAGTAAAGTAATCTGTAAAAGTAATTGATTTAACTCTGCATTTGAAGTCTTAATCTTCAGCTATATGGAAAATTCCAATGTTCAGAAAGATACTTTTCTCCAAGGATTCCAGAGAATAAAATTTACTTGATAATAATTTACAAGTCTATTTTAGGCAATTAAATGTCTTAATTCCAAAATAATTTTTAAATGAACTTCTTTTAAGATTTTTAAAATTATATTTCATATGACATGTAAAAGAAGGAAAACTTGCATAACTGTTTCTTACGTTCCACTTTTGTTATTTGAGCCACTGCCAAAGAAAGTTGTGAGGTATCCAAAGTTTTTCTTTGGTATACTCCTCCCTAACTCCTCAATTCTTGGACAGCACTTTGAAGCTATGAGGTTCTGTGGCTGCTCAAGGCTTCTCCAGATCACTGAACCTGAAGACATCTCATCCCTGACTCTCTTCAAAACATAACCGTCCTTAGTCATATTCTTTCCAGCACTCCACTGCAAATTGGGTTAACCTCATAAACTAACTAAAGTGTACTTATGAATTAATGATGACAGTAGGTTAACATGCTGCTGTTCTCAGAGAAATGAGCCAAACAATAGTAAATTTATATAACTAACATACTATAAGAATAGGAAATCGTTTTCCTATTTATGGTCACTGACCAACTAAATATTTAAAAAATCAAGGGTTATGACAAAAAACAAAAAACAAAAAACAAAAAAAAACAAAGGTTACAACAAAAGCAAACCAGCTTACATTAAACTTTAGTTCTTTAGTTTGAGAAAAAGAGGAAATGGAAAAATACTACTACTTGACATGTGTATATCATTTGCATTTGTATTTAATGTCCCTATATAATACAATATATATGTATATATTTTTATTTAGTTTAATATTTAAAACAATGCTGTAAGTTCATATTATTCCTATTTTATAGATGAGGAAACATAGGTTCAAAGAGGTTAACTTACTGACCATCAAATAGCAGAGCTGGGACTCTAAATAATTCTAATTCCAAGTCAAGTGTTTTTTCACTATGCCACAGCTTCTACAGGTGTTCATAATACCTACTTTTAAACTAAATAAAAGAAACAGAAAAGTATGCTACATACAGTAAGACTATACTCTGATTTCACATGTAGCTGGTTTTCAAAGGAAATGGGACCTAAGATGGAGAGGGAGAGTGAGAAAGCCAGCAAGAGAAAAAGAAAAAGATTAAGTTAGGAAATACCAAACACAGAGAAAGAGAATAAGGAAGGGAAAGAAAGAAAAAGACAGCTGTAACTGAAAGAAAGGATGAGCTGAAGTCCAGGCTGTTCCAGGTCCCCACTCGGTCTTGCTTCTAGCCACATGCAGACTTCACGTCTCCTGGCTCTGCACTCTTCCTCCTCTGTTTCGGCTGCTAAAACTCTTCCCTGGTCTAACTTGCACAGAGAGCTGTGGGCTCCTATTTCCACAGATCCCCAGAGCCCTGACCTTATCTTGGTCTAATCATGGCAATCACCGTTATTAGTTTTCCTTCCACTTATTCAGTGAACAAAACTAAAAGCAATTCACTTTAGAAATCTGCTTATCTCCTCTATCTCTGAGAATTAATGGAGACCCAAGCACCTGCCTGATACTAAGGAAAGTATTATGGCAGAAACAAAGCAACAAAGCCAGACCAGGACTTCTGTCACCTCAACAGTCATGCCCAAAGTTGCCTATGTATCCATTTTTCACTGAAAAATCACTATCTCTGAGTCACACAATAGATAATAAAATGACTACACACAGTCACCACTTACATTTCTAAGTTTTTGTTTTAGTTAGTCAATTTATTATTTAGGTAAATTAGGTATAATTGCTTTCAAAAGGAGATAAACATCCTATATTACTAGCATTTAACACATTTCTTAAATAATTGGCATAATATGTTAATTAAAAGAACTGTCTGAATTTGAAGCTCTTAGTGAGTGACTTTGGGCAAATTACTTAATATTTTGAACTTTAGGTTCTTCATCTGTAACATGGGGCTAGTCAAGCAGTATTAAACACAATGGTAGTTTTTAAATAAGTTGAGTGCTTGAAACTGTACCTGGCATATAGCAAGGATTCAACAAATATTATTACTTCTATTAGCCATTAGCTTTGCCACTTAGCTGCATGAAACTTAACTATAGTATACGTTTTTGCTTTTTTAAAAAATAGATTAATTGTAGAAGTTTTAGAAAAAACTTTAAACCCTATCTCTACTAATAATACAAAAATTAGCCAGGTGTGGTGGCGCATGCCTGTAGTCCCAGCTACTCGGGAGACTGAGGCAGGAGAATAGCTTGAACCAAGGAGGTGGAGGTTGCAGTGAACCAAGATTGTGTCACTGCACTCCAGACTGGGTGACAGAGTGAGATTCCATCTAAGAGAGAGAGAGGGAGAGAGAGAGAGAGAGAAAGAAACAGAAATAAAGAACAAACTTTAAAAAATAACATGGAAAGCAACAATGAAAAGTAAAAGTTGAATAGTGATAAATATATATTAAAATTGAAAAGCAGCACTGGCATCCTTTTACAACTGTTTTACCTCAAAGTCTATCAGCTGCAGGTCAGCTATCAGTGTCACCAGCAGGCCACTGTTGTAGAGCTCCTGTGCCAGCTGAGCCACTGCTTCTGTCGGGGGTTCCTTTTCATTTGTACCACACAGAATTTCTTTCATTGCTTGCAGTGATTTTGACACTTCTTCTGAAGCCTAGTGAGCAAAACATATGCTAACAGTTAAAAGAATAAAAATTTTTAGGCCATTAACAAACAAGTAATCAAAAAAAAAGCTACTTCTTGGGCCCTGTTTATTTATAATCAATGGTACAGTTACAAACAAGCCAAAATAGTAACCACTGCCTTTTTTATTTTGGAAAACATTACTAAAATTTATTTATATAAAAAAGTTCTCTTGCATTTCTACTTAGGCAACATAAATTAAATAATCTTTTAAACCACATTCATTGTCTAATTTTGCTAGCAATTCGATATAAATTTTACTCTTGAAAACTGATTCCATTTTGAAGATTTATCAGTGGCTACTAATCTTTATTTAAAGCACTGTGTTAAGGTTTTTCAGCAAATCCCTACTCTTCTGATTTTTGAACGGTCCAAGTACAAAATTGTAGGTTTTCAAAACTCATAAACTTCTTTGTCAATCCATTTATTCCTCATATGTAATCACTGTTTTCTTTGCTCTCTATGAAACTTAAAAAAAAACTCACTATATTTTAAAGAATACTAGGCAAATCCATAGAGGCAGAAAGTGCATAGATTAGTGGGTGTTAGGGCCTGGGAGACAGGAAAATAAGGAATGACTGCTAGTGGCTACAGGGTTTCTTTTGGGGGTGATGAAATGTTCTAGAATTAGATAGTGGAGATGGTTGCACAACCTTGTGAATGTACTGAAAACCAGCAAATTATACACTTTAAATAGTGAATTATATGGTATGTTAACTATATCTCAATTTAAAAATCTTTTAAACTAATGTAGGTAGGAAAGAAGAGCAGACTAGTTAATAATTTCTCTGAAATTTGAAAAGAAATATACTTTTATTACTTTTAAGTATAATACTATAATCATTATAAATGAAGAAGGAAATGAGTAGAATAAGGTAGCTTACATAAAAATAACTCATGGTAGCATGACACTACTTTTATTCTTAGTTTTTAATTTTTCTCTGGCTCTGCTTCTTGGGTGACGCTACTTTTATTTATTTATTTATTTTTGAGACAGTTTTGCTCCTGTCACTCCAGGCTGGAGTACAATGGCACAATCTCAGCTCACAGCAACCTCCGGCTCCTAGGTTCAAGTGATTTCTCCAGCCTCATTTTCCCTAGGAGGTGGGATTACAGGCACTCACCACCATGCCTGGCTAATTTTTGTTGTAGTAGAGATGGCTTTTCACCATGTTGGCTAGGCTGGTCTCAAGCTCCGGACCTTAGGTGATCCGCCCACCTCGGCCTCCCAAAGTGCTGGGATTACAGGCATGAGCCACTGGGTCTGGCTGACACTACTTTATAAAGTAATTTTTCATATAGTTTAATAGCCTGACTGAAGCAATCCTTAATGTACTAAAGACTTGAAGCATCTTAAATTGTGAGGTATATCCATAGAAGAGTGCTTTAAACATACACAGAGGGTATGTTTAAGAGAGAGTTAAGAATAATCATAAAGGAAACATCTTTGTGACCATCACTCAGTCAAGAAACAACATTTTCAGCACCTAGGAGTCACCTGAAGACCCTTTCAGGTTAGATGTAAATACTTTTATATCTATTGTGACAAACACGTCTTTACAGTTTTCGTACCTATGTATGCATCCCAAAACGATATAGCTTAGTTCCACTGATTTTGAACTTTATGAACCAGTACATTACCCTTTCATGATTTGCTTCTTTCATTCAACATTACATTTGAGAAATTCATCTATGCTGTGGCATGTAGGCAGAAGTTCTTTAATTTTTATTGCTTTCTAGTGTTCCACCCTAATGCCTATGCCACAACTTTTTTACTGGTTCTACGGTTCATGGACATTGGGTTGTTCCCATTGAAGGGTTTTTGTAAACTACAATGGTATAAAAATTTGTGTACATTTTTCCTGGTGTAGATGTACAAGAATATCTCTAGAGTTTATACCTAGGAGTGGCACTACAGGATTTTAGTTCGTGCATATTTTCATATTTCACAGGTAATACTAAACTGGTTTCCAAAGCAGTTATATTAATGTACACATCATCATCCACAGTTAACGAAAGTCCTCATTGGTCTCCATTCTTGACAACACTTAACATCATCGCACCTTTTCAGTTTTGCCAAGACAGGAGTCGTGTAATGTGAATTTACTGTGTTTTTAGTTGGCCTTTTCCTATTTAGTAAAGAAAATGTATAAAAGATTTTTTTTTCTTTTTTCTCTCTTTTACCACTTAGATTTATACTTGTAAAAAGTCCATTTTTCTTCTATTTAGGCCAAGATTTGGCTCAATATTACGAAGTATAATGTAATTAAATAAGCTATTTCTATACCCCTTATAGAATTCAAGATTGTATCATTTACTGAAGAATACTATGAACTTGAGTATTTATTTTATAGATATCTTGAATCTTGCCATAAACTAATCACTTTAGAGAGAAATCGAATATACAGGATTCAATATCCCTTTGAAGGAATAACCAACATTCCTGTGAGGAAGCCCCACTTAATAAGACCTTAAAACTGTATGAAAATGAGATTTACTGTAACAGAAACTATCAGTCAATCTTTAAATTAAAAACTTTTTACCTTTCATGTCAATGTAACATTATACACCATTATAACCTTTTAGATTTTTAAGCTGTGTAGTCTAGAGGGACCCAGTGTTGATCAGAATCTCTAGAGAGTAAACCTAAAGTTCATCACAACAGACTAAACAATAATCAGTTGCATATGACCTGAAATCAACTTAAATCTATTTATAGAGACACCATGTGCCCTCACAGACCATATTTTGAATTCCTCATTAAGCTTTTACACTGATGTTTGGCATTGCAATGCATGTGCTTTAATCATAATGTTACTGTTTTAGCTCATACCTTGTCTGTCTTTTTGTCTTGCTTTTCCAAAATGGCCAAATTGTCTTTCAGGATTTTCACAATTTCTGCTGGATTTTTGTGTGATTTACTAAACAAAGGCATTCTTTTCATGTGTAGAAATCTCTTCTTCCAGTATGGAATGCTAAAAAATAAGCCAACAAAAATTACAACTTTAACTCTTAATATGCTTAAATTTGGAACCAATATGTCTTATAAATTTTTAACAACATGAATCAGGTAATCTGAAACATTAAAAATGATCAAATTAAAATGAGTTCCAAGTTTTATGCCAAATGTAAATACATATAAAGTATTTTTTAAAAAATATTTTTAAAGTTTTGCTTGAAACTTTTTATACAAAGTTTAAAATCTTTTCTGCAATAGAAACATAAGGATTATGCAATAAATAATTTTAGAGTCTAAGCTGATAGGGAAAACTAGATATTTTGACCAAAGGAATAATAATAAATATATTCTATAATATTAAGCTGTATGTATTCTATAATGTTTAGCTACTATTATTACGAGAAGGTCTATGACATAGTTAATGAATTATTTCACTAAAGAGAAAGGCACAGTAGTTGGGAGATGATTCTATCTTAAATGCCCTAGACATTTCTGGCTCTTTGAGTTAATTATACTTATTTCCATTATTAAAAAAAAATCCTCTGAATGCATAATACTCAATATTCAATTATTTTGCATTAAAGTGGAATTTTAAAAAGAAGCCAAGTGCATTAATGTATAGACATACCAAGGAGATACTGTAAGTTCAGTTCCAGACCATTGCAATAAAGCAAATTTCTCAATAAAGTGAGTCACAAAATGTATTTGGTTTCCTAGTACCTATGAAAGTTACATTTATTCTACACTGCAGTCTATAAAGTATGCAATAGTATTATATCTAAGAAAACAATATATATGACTTAATTTATAAAAATATTTATTGCTAAAAATGCAAATGATCATCTGACCCTTCCTTCAGTGAGTCCTAATATTTTTGCTGGTTGGAGAGTCTTGCATGAATGTTGATGGCTGCTGACTGATCAGGGTGTTGGCTGCTGAAGGCTGGAGTAGCTGTGGCGATTTCTTAAAAGAAGACAATGAAGTTTGCTACTTTTACTGACTCTTCCTTTCATGAAAGATTTCTCTGTATCATGTGATAGTTTGTTAGCATTTTACTCACAGTAGAACTGTTTTCAAAATTGAAGTCAATCCTCTCAAACCCTGCCACTGCTTTAAAAGCTACGTAATACGCTAAATCCATTGTTGTTATTTCATCTTCACCAGGAGTAGATTCCATCTCAAGAAAACACTTTGCTCATCCATAGAAGAAACACTCCTCACCTGTTGAAGTTTTATCGTGAAATTGCAGCAATTCAGTCACATCTTCAGGCTCTACTCCTAATTCTTGTTCTTTTGTTATTTCCACTACATTGGCAGTTACTTCCATCATTAAAGTCTTGAGCCCCTCAAAGTTATCCATGAGGGTAAGAATCAACTTCTTCTGAACTCCTGAAAATGTTGATATTTTGACCTCCTCCCATAAATCACATGTGTTCTTAATGGCATCTAGAATGGTGCATCTTTTACAGCAGGTTTTTCTCTTTAGTTTGCCCAGACTCATTAGAGGAATCACGATCTGTGGCAGCTTTCACCTTATGAAATGTAATTCTTCAGGGTTTTTAAAAAACTTTTATTAGAACAATATGAACATAAGAAATGTATTTAACAAGTCTGAAAAGTCAAAGTTACTCCTTTGTCCATGGGCTGCAGAATGGATGTGAACAGGCATGAAAACAACATTAATGTCCTTGTACACCTCCACCAGAGCTCCTGGATATAAGCAGTAATATTTTCAAAGGAATCTTTTATTCCGAGCAGTGGGTCTCAACAGAGAGCTTAAAATATTCAGAAAACCATGCTGTAAATAGATGTGCTGTCATTCAGGCTTTGTTAGTCCATTCATAGAGCACAGGCCGAATAGATTTAGCATAATTCTTAAGAGTCCTAGGGTTTGGGGGATGGGAAATGAGCATTAGCCTCTACTTCAAGTAACCAGCTGCATTAGCCCCTAACAAGGCAGTCATCAGCTTTTCCTTTAAAGCCAAGCACTGACTCCTCCTTTCTAGCTATGAAAGTCCTAGATGGCATCTTCTTCCAATACAAAGGTGTTCCATCTACGTTGAAAATCTGTTGTTTTGTGTGGCTACCCTCACCAATGATCTCCGCTAGCTCTTCTGGATAACTTGCTGCAGCTTCTACAACAGCATTTGCTGCTTTCCCTAGCACTTTTATGTTCTAGAGATGGCTTCTTTCCTTAAACCTCATGAAGTGAACCTCTTTTAGCTTCAAACTTTTCTTTTACATCTTCCTTACCTCTCTCAGTCTTCATAGAACTGAAGAGAGTTGGGGCCTTGCCCTGGACTAGGCTTAAGAGAATGTGTCTGGCTTGATCTTCTATCCAGAACACTTAAACTTTCTTCATATTAACAATTAGCTGTTTCGTTTTCTTATTATTAGTGTTTTCATTGGAGTAGCACTTTTCATTTTCTTCAAGAACATTTCCTTTGCATCCACAGCTTGGCGAACTTACTGGTGCAAAAGCCCTAGCTTTCAGCCTGTACCAGCTCTGGATACGCCTTCCTCACTAAGATTAATTATTTCCACCTTTTGATTTAAAGTGAGAGATATGTTACTCTTCCTTTTACTTGAACACTTAGAGGCCACTATAGGATTATGAGTCGGCCTAATTTCACTATTGTTGCATCTCAGGGAACAGGGAGGCCTGAGGACAGTTAAGACAGGGTAATGGCCAGTTGATGGAACAGTCATAATACAAGCAACATTTATTGATTACGGGCACAGTTTGTGGTGTCCTGAAACAATTACAATAGTAACATCAGAGATCACTGATCACAGATCACCCTAACAGATGTACTAATAAATGAAAACGTTTGAAATATTGTGAGAATTAACAAAATGTATCAAGAGATACAAAGTGAGCACATGCTGTTGAAAAAAATGGCACCAATAGACTTCCTTTATACAGGGTTGCCATAAACCTTCCATTTTTCAAAAACACAGTGTCTTCAAAGCACAATAAAGGTGAAACACAATAAAATAAGGTATACCTGTAATTGCTTTCTTTCTCCCTGTAGTTCTACAGCACTAAGGGAAAGATATATAATTGTAGGAATTTTAAATACTCCCCGACATCAAAACAGAGTACAAATTATTACATAGTATCACAGAGATAATATGATATGATTTTTGTCCATTATTAACTCTGCTTGGTTCTCACTATAACAAGCTAATGCTAATTTTCTTAAATTAAAAAATTTTCAGGGCTTCCCTGTCAATCTGGTGGTTAGCTAGCATTTTCTGATTCATTATCTCCCCTTTTCATCTGATGGTGGGTTTGTTTATTTATTCATTGAATAAATAATCTGAGTAATTACTGAGCAGAAGCACTTTGCTAAATATTAGGGATAGAGCCACGAACAAAAAAAAAATACAATCCCTGCTCTTTGGAGCTTATTATTAAGTGGCAAAAGCAAACACTTTAGGGGCAATGGTGTCACACAATGGGGAAATAACACATAGCAAACTGCCTCAATACAATTGCCTTTCAAAAATTATTTTCATATTTTACTACACCTACTTATGTAATAAATATAATACTAGTTTAACAATGTTTTAAAATTTCATCTAATCATTATTCTCCAATTTTGGGATCCATATTTTGAAAGAAATCAAAATTCATACACTTAAACTATACTTGAGTTCCAGCACCCAGACCTCCTGCAAATTCAGGCAGAACTCTCCTGCCTGCCCCAGTTCTTCTTAGACCATGGCCAGCCCCACTCCACTCCCAGACCAAATACCTCCCCCATCACCTGGAAACTTGGGGCTGTCCTTCTCACACCCTGAGCAACCATGCTGGTCACTGTATATGCATCTTCTCCAATCACATCATTTACCTCACTGGTGGTCATTTAAGCATTGAGCCAAGCAGCACTCAAACCTTCTACACAAACACAAGACATCTAAACTCCCTCTAGTTGATTGACAACTGATCTACTGTACTGTAGTTAGTCACTCCCATCTAGGTGTCATTTATTCTCTCTGTAAAATGAAGCTGTTCTTAGAGTAAGATTGTGTATCAGGGCTCTAGGTTATTCATCACTGTTCCACATCCATTCTGAGTTAACTCCCAATATCTTATCATGGCCAAAGATAAAGTGCTTAAGGTGGGAAAAAAAGAAATGAGAGGCCTAACAATGGTGCTTTGTGGGGATAAGGTAGTAGTAATTTTTTTCATAAAGTCTAGCTTGGAGTTTTAAGAACATACATTATATTTCAGCAAAGCAGGCACTGGGGACAGGAAAAGATGCATGTTAGTCCAAAAAACTGACACTAGATAAATGCATTGAAAAGTCCATTAGGCATTGAAAACTGTGTTGAGACCATGCACATCAACCTGCCTTCCGCGTTAATGCTGACAGCAGGCCATGCAGCACAGAAATGTTAGTGGCCTGACAATGGCCCTCTTATACTTTTCCTCTTCCAGGAGTTGGTAAGCAGAATAAACAAATAGTAGTTTGTTCTTTTTTAAATTATTATTAAATGAACACAAGAAAAGGAAATAAATGCCCTGCAGACTTGGGCAAGAAAGGTTGCTTCTGAAATTCTCTATAAAGCTAGAACAGATATAAATTTCAGAAAAAAAGACAAAAAGCTCTTTTAGACAAAAAGAGAGCTGGTCAAGGTAAAAGACTGAAAATACATACATACATGCACACATAAACACACACATGCCAGAAATGCAGACTGGGAATCCCAAACCACATAGAGCAGATGGACAATACAGAAAATGGATCTGGGGCAACTTCAAGGTACAAAATCAGTTCGTCTGCATGTATTCATTCAAAACATATTTACTGAGCACTTACAATATGCAAGGCACTGAACAAGGAAATACAAAACAAAGAAGCCTCAAAGGGCTCACAATGTTGTGAGAGGCACAGATACATCCAGAATTTTCCCAGGAGGCAAAAAAGGTCAAAAAAACAAAAATGAGAAAGAAAAGATATCTAAGTTGTTAGATACATACATTTATATCTATACAGGTATTTCATA